TCAACATGCTTGAGACAGAAATGCTCTGCAAAGTGGTGACTTAAGTTCTTTTTAAATCACAGAAAACAAATTCTGAAGGATGTGACTTTCACAGTGTATCCTGGTCAGACGTTAGCACTTGTTGGTCCATCTGGGAGTGGTAAAAGTACCATTATACGACTTCTCTATCGCTTCTATGATCTGGACTCGGGAACAATCTCTGTTGATGGACAAAATATCGCAGAGGTTTCTTATGTTATTTCTTACATTAACTTACAATGTGGCCTACGTAACCCGGCCAGCCCAACCTTTATAAGCTCCCCGCTTCTAAGGCGGATAAATTAAGAAACCGCTGCTCCGGGGGGAGGGGGAGGGATGATGGTAATGTTTTATTAAGAGTCCTCTGTTCTCTTGAAAGTGCAAAACAGGGACTCGTTTGTCATAAAAAGAATTTATTGAAATGAGAATGAAACAACGTACAAACCTTCACAGTGACGAGTGCACATCCAATTGTGTCAATCATAGCTTTATATTTCCTAACGGCTGGGGAGAAACTGAAAGAGTCTTCTATTGTGGAATTCTACATACATCCGTCTTTGGCAGCTTAATCCGTTGCGCGAATCCAAAGTAATCGGCCCGCGCAAACGATTTTTCAGGGATGCGTAAGGGGATTTGTTGAAGTCTATCTGAAGTTAAACGGCGTAAGACAAACAGCAGGAGACCTTAAGTAGTCTATTCATTTATACTAAATGAAAAACACCTCTGTCATTTTCTGCGTTCTCTCCAGGTCACTCAGAAGTCTCTCCGTAAGGTCATAGGAGTGGTTCCTCAGGACACAGTCCTATTTAACAACAACATAAGGTAGTGCGGGATAACGTTATGGGAAGGACAAGTTGGGAAGGTGGGATCATATGAGGGAGGTGTTAGTGGAAACTTATCAATAACCATGAGAATAACACTTTAGAAACCACCACACCAGAGGCCCTATCAAGGAAAAATTTTGCCTCCTAGATGTTTGTCTCTCTTTTTTCGCTCATACCAACATTTCTTGCACCAGTGAACTGTGATTTCACAAGAACTGTGTTTTCTCAACTTGTAGCTTGGATAGTGAGTTCCCGAGAGATACTTTTCCATGTGTTTTCTGTCAGGTTCAACATTCAATATGGCAGAATAACCGCCTCTGAAACGGAGGTAGAGGAAGCCGCGGCAGCAGCCGACATTCATGATAGGATTTTAACTTTCCCCAATGGTAGGTGTTGAACAACTACATAAATAAATTGTAACACTGTTACTATTGCATGTATCACAATACTTAATAACAATCCTTTTCGTCAGGTTATCAGACAGTCGTTGGTGAGCGCGGGCTTAAACTAAGCGGAGGAGAGAAACAGCGTGTTGCAATAGCCAGAACACTGCTGAAGAACCCGCCGCTTGTTCTCCTAGATGAGGTATTTACCCTCACTGCGGCTTTAGGTGATTTTCTTCTCTTTATAACAAAAAAACAAACAAACAAACAATCGCTCACTTATGGTTTGTTTTATTTTATTCCAGGCAACCTCAGCGTTAGACACTCAGACTGAACGTAACATTCAGGCCTCACTTAACAGAATGTGCGTCAACAGAACTACAATTGTAGTTGCCCACAGGTAAGCAAAATGAAAACATTCTGTGTGTGTCTTGTTCTTGTCAATTTTCTCTCCATAGTTCTTGCCAAGTTCACCTATTTCTGGTTACGATAAGCTTGGAACGTCAGCTTTAAAACTCTTTACGGTGACCAATTTAC